GAAAGAATTTTCTGGGAACAAAAGGCCAACATCTCCTGGCTGAAAGAGGGGGACTCCAACACGAAATTCTTCCATTCATATGTCAAAGGGAGGAGAGCAAAACTTAAAATATCCACCATAAGGGATGACATGGGGATCAATCATGACAATGAAGATCAAATTGGTAACCTGGCAGTAGAACACTTCACCAATCTCTTTGTTGATCATGCCATTTCAAATCCAGAAAGTATTACCACATACATTCCCACCACCATCACAGAACAAGACAACAATTTTATGAGGAGGCTACCTGAAGTAGAGGAAGTTAGGGAAGCAATATGGTCCCTTAATCCAGATGCTGCAGCTGGTCCGGATGGGTTTAATGGAAGATTCTTCAAAGAATGCTGGAACATAATCAAAGTGGATCTGCTTAGGGCATGCCAGGAATTTTCTTGGGAATCAAAATCCCTGCTTCGTATGGAAGTACCCTCATAACTCTGGTCCCTAAAGGTGACAATCCAGTTAAATGGAAAGACTATAGACCTATTTCCCTGTCTACCTTCATGAGCAAGATTAACACTCGTATTCTAGCCAATCGACTTGGCTCATTACTACATAAAGTGATTGGTCCGGAACAAGCTGGTTTTCAAAAAGGGAAATCCATTGATGACCAAATCCTCTTGGCCCAAGAGATGGCTCATCAACTGGATCGCAAGGTTGAGGGGGGAAATATCATAATCAAACTTGACATGGCAAGTGCTTTTGATAGAATGAGTTGGCAGTACCTAGAATCAGTGCTAAGGAAGATGGGTTTCAGCAACTTTGTCACAAGCTTACTGCTGAGCAACCTCCAAGCCACAATGATGTCCATCAACATAAATGGAAAGCCTAAGGGTTACTTCCCTATGAAGAGGGGAGTGAAACAAGGGGATCCTCTGTCCCCTCTTCTCTTTATTCTAGGAAGCGAAGGTTTAAGCAAGGCTCTTACACAGGGGATACATTCCAGGTTCCTCAAACCTTTTAACAGTGGACGGGGGCCAATCATCACTCACCTCTGTTATGCAGATGATCTGGTAATTTTCCTCAACGGTAACACCCGTAACCTTCTTC